GGGGGGGGAATGAAGAAAAGAAAAGACAAAATTATCTTGAACACGAAGGGAAAAAATGACAAGGTATCCCATAGAAAATAGTCTTGAAAAGGAGCGTTGAAGAAAGACAGAAAAACACCGTGGAATGTAGGCAAAGAAATAATATTTATATTATCAGAGTTCCCGAAGGGGAAAAAAAGATAAAAACTCGTGGCACAGAGGTCGTGTTTAAAACTATATTCCAAGGAAAATTTTCAGACATGAAGAGCTGAGTCCACACATTGAAAGAAACTCCCTCAGATGCCAGGAAAAATTAACCCAGAATAATGAACTCTGAGGCATTCTGCTGAAGCCGTTAGCCTTGAAAGCTAAAATCCTCAAAGTCTGCAGGCAGAAGAGATCAAATAACCTGCAAAAGCAGGAGCCTGGCACCCCAAAACCGACTTACAGAGTGCATTCAAGGCAACGCTGGAGCAGCCCTTTCATCTCAGATCCCGAAAAGGAAACTTGGATCAAAGCTTTAACACCTAGCCACAATTTTATTTTCCCACTATCAAAGCCACAGAAATCCATTCTCAATGTTGAGGAATGTGGGAGCTCTGCGCCCATCAGTCCTTGAGGGAACTTGAGTAAGGGTGACTTCGAGCCAACCTCACAGTGACCAGGAAAATGTCCAACAAAAGATGCACAGTGAGGGCTTAATGGTGCTTAGTTGGGACTGGGGTGGTGTCTCAGTGGTAGAGCGCTCGCCTAGCATGCATGAGGCACTGGGTTCGATCCTCGGCACCACATAAAAACAAACTAATGCATCCACCTAAAACTAAAGATACATAAATAAATAAATATTTTTAAAATGATGCTTAATTATTCCTGGGGATGTAGCATGGTGATACAGTGTGTGCTTCATGTGCACAAGGCCCAGGCTTTCATCCCCAGCACCAATAAATAATGATAAGAAATTAAATAACACACACGTGTGTGTGTGTGTGTGTGTGTGTCTCTAACACGAAAAGCAATGTAGAGAAGAGAGAGGAGACTAATGTAGAAATGCTGAATATTATCTGTCATAAAGTAGAAATTATCCAAAGAAATAATTTATTTATTTCTATCCATGGAAAGAAAAAGGAGAAAACGAAAAAGAAATTAAAAAAAAAAAAAAACTCTGTTGTATAGACAACAGCTCTGTTAAAGAATATGGAAGGAAGAAACCTGGGAAAGCTGAGTAATAAAGGTTTAAATAAGAAAACAAGGGCTTAACAGCATTTTTAAAAGGTATAAGTATAAAAATAACCACTGGAACACAATCTTCCTGAATGTAAAATATATATATATGGATAGATAGATAGATAGATAGATGGAAACAACACTTAAGTCATTGAAAAAATGTAACAAATACTAAAAAAATGTAATAAGAAAAATGACTCAAAATGGGCAGTTAAGGTCAAACGTATCAATCATATCAATAAACGTGAGTAGGCTTGACTTACCTATTAAAAGGAAAAGATCTTTGACTTGACTCACAAACCTAGATCCAAGTCTGTCCTGCACAGGAGAGTCAAACCTCAAGCAAAGTTGATTCACAAAGGCTGAACGTAAAGGGCTGGACAGCAGGAGCAAAGCTCAGGTCACAGTAGGATCCACGCCCAAGGGTGTTAAGCACTACCAAGAGAAACACTTTATGTTCCAGTTTACAACACACAATGTAGTATATGCACCAAATAACACAGCGTAGCACAAGGCAGAAACTGCAGGAGGTGCAAGGAGACTTCATAGAAACAGAGAAAGCTCACCATACTAAGCACATTTATCATTAGAGAGGAAAGAATGAAAATAAACTGACTTCCCCGCTCAAAACAACACAAAAGCAAACGAGCAAAGTAAAGCACAAAAAAAAAATGCACAAGAAAGCAAATAGTCGAAAGAAAACCAGAAATTAGTGAAATAGGAATAGAATTAAAATCCTGGTTTAAAAAAAAAATAGACAAGTCACCATTAAATCAAGGAAAAAAGGGAGGGGGCAGGCATGGTGACCCACACCTATAATTCCAGCAGCTTGGGAGGCTGAAGCTGGAGGATCACAAGTTCGAGGCCAGCCTCAGCAACTTAGCAAAGCCCTAAGCAACTCAGCAAGACCCTGTCTCTAAATAAAATATTAAAAAGGGCTGGGGATGTGGCGCAGTGGTCGAGTGTCCCAGAATTCAAACCCTGATACCAGAAAGAAAATTGGGCACCAGCCTAGTACCAACCACACAGGACTGACTCCACCAGCAGCCTTCTCTCTCTCTCTCTCTTCCCAGGTCCCGGCCTGGCCTTCATCGCCTATCCAAAGGCTGTCACCATGATGCCTCTCTCCCCGCTGTGGGCCACCCTGTTCTTCATGATGCTCATCTTTCTGGGCCTGGACAGCCAGGTAAGCAGCCCAGAGGGAGAGGGGCCGGGGAGGCCAGGGGCTCTTTTTTTATTTATTTTTATTTATTGGGACCAGGAATTGAACTCAGGTACTCGACCCCTGAGCCACATCCCAGCCCTATTTTGTATTTTATTTAGAGACAGCGTGTCTCACCAAGTTATCTAGCACCTCGCTTTTTGCTGAGGCTGGCTTTGAACTTGGGATCCTCCTGCCTCAGCCTCCCAAGCCACTGGAGTTACAGGCGTGCACCACTGCGCCCTGTGGCCAGGCACTCTTCCTAGGAGCGACCTTTGGTCCCAGCCACCACCCCTCCTGGTAACACAGAGTCCCATGCGTCCCAACCAAATATCCAAGGACCCCAGAGCACAGGTGTTGGGGGTCGCCATGACACAGCCTGGGTGGCCACTTGGTTCCCTTGGCATGTGGGAGCTGTTCTGGGTGGGAGGCTATACAGGCAAGATGCCCAGTTTTAACAAGATGGCACAGGCCCCCCCCCAGCCTCCTGCCCAGCCAAGCCTGTGCAGGACAGTGCCCAGGATGGCCCAGCAGATACTGCCCCCACCGTGCCTCTGTACAAGTCACTTAGCATGGTCAGTGTAGGCGTCTGTCAACCCAGCCAAGCTCGATTCTCCCCCTGAGCCGTTCCTCCTCGGAAACTGCTAAGCAGGGCTTCAGGAGCCCGGGTGCTTGGGCTGATAATCTTCTCATTGTTGCGGGCAGAAGCCTCTGAGGGATCAGGGATCAGCGCTGGCACATGACAGGACAGGCTGCCTGGCGGAGGAGGCGGGGTTGGAGCCGCTTGCCGTGTGCCTGGGCTGTGTTCTCAGTTCACTGTCACAACCACCATGTGGGCCAGGGACCCCTTTTGTTGCCCCCCCACTATACAAAAGAAACCAAGGCCCAGAGATGCCAGGTCACCAACTGGAACGTACGCCCAGGTCTGCGCCTTAGCTGCACACTCCCATGTCTCTTCCTCTCCTTCTTTGCTTAAACCCTCTTCCTTGAATCCCCTCCCTCCCGGGACCCTGGAGAAAGGGTGAGCGATGCCAGCCCTTGCTGTGGAGGCAGAGCCTGGGCTTTGGAATCGGGCAGGGCTGGATTGGAGTCCCAGTGCCAGGACTCTCAACCAGCTGTGTGGCTTTCGGATAATCACTTTACCTCTCTGTGCTTCCTCCCCTTGGCCTGCACAGTAAGGACGGAAATATCTTTCCTAAGAAGGTAGAAATGAATCATAAAGGATTTAAGACCAAGAAGTCGCTCCAAGGAAGGGGTCTGCCAACATGGTGCCCATCAGAAAAAAATTTTTTAAGTTCTTCTCCAGAAAAGGGGTCAGGCAGGAGATCTGCCCTCAGTTCTCTGAGAACCTGGGAGCAGGGCTGGGTATGGTGTTGGGATATTGAGTCTGGGGATTGACCAGGCAAGGAGTTGGCCTGCCTGATTGTGCCCAACACTTGGGATTCAGATGCTTGAATTCAGCCATCAATGCCTGGACACTTTGGCCCAGAGATGGCAGAAACACAGGAGCTGGGTGTTGTCCTCCAACCAGCAGAGGGGCACTCGCCCACCAGAGCCAGAGGCCAGGGAACTCGCACAGCCCTGGAGATCACAGAGCCTGCCTCCAGGACAGTGACAGAGGGAGAGACCCCTGCCTTGCCCCAAGGGCCAGGACTGAGTCTCATTTAACTCATTTAACTCCAGGAAAGGGGCCAGCCATAGACCCGTGACAAGACTCTGCATGCTGAGTGACCCTGGGCAGGTTCCCTCCCCTCTCTGAGCAACTTTGCCCTTGTGTGTTAAGTGGACACGCCAGGTCCCTATTAGTGCTGGGGTAGCCGACCCCCAGGAACAGGCTTTTTCTTGGGTTTCACACCATCACATCTCCCCCCACCCCATCCAGTTTGTGTGCGTGGAAAGCCTGGTGACCGCCGTGGTGGACATGTACCCCAAGGTCTTCCGGAGGGGCTATCGTCGGGAGCTGCTTATCCTGGCCCTGTCGGTCATCTCCTATTTTCTGGGCCTCGTGATGCTAACAGAGGTGAGTGGCACGCGTGGCCGCGTGCAAACGCCAAGTGCCTGGGCTTTGGGGCGGGCACGTCTGACGTCACGTCCCTCCTCTGGCCCTGTCTGGCTGCCGAAGCCCGGGCCGGGCTAGTACCTTCTCTGCCTCTCAGTTTCTCCTCTTCCCAATGGGTCGAGGTGAGAATGGAAGGCAGGTTCCTGTCGGGTCATTGCCACAGGGTCTGGCATAAGCCGCGCTTGGCTGCCAACAGAGAGGGGTGAAGCCCCAAGGGGACCCTTGGGCTTCGCCAGTACTTAAGAGCGTGGGGATGCCTGGCTCGTGGCTATGAGTAAACTGGTTGCCTTTCCTGGGTCTCCCGTTCAAAGCAGGCTATTCTAGGGGGGCTTCTGAGAATAGGCATCAGTGATATTTGGGACCTCCGGGCACTCTGTTCCAGCCTCGGTTTTGTCCGTGGCCCTGTCTTAGCCAGCTTTTTCATTGCTGTGACCAGAGTACCCCCAAGTCCAACTCTGAGGAGGCCTCCGTCCATAGATGGCCGACTCCCGTGGGCCTGGGTGAGGCAGATGGTCACGGAGGAAAGGTGTGGTGGAGGAGAGCAGCTCAGCTTGTGGCCGGGTCAGGAAGCAGAGAGAGACGGAGAAAGGGGGCTTCAGGGCAGATGCACCCTTCCAGGGCACGTCCCCAGTGACCCTACCTCCTCCAGCCTCACCCACCTCCTACAGTTACCCCCCCCCAGTCAGTCCATTCCGACTGGGGTGGACTGCTGAGGCCACGGCTCTCGTGATCCAATCATTTGAACCCCTGAAGAGTCCTGCATTCACAGGAGCTTTGGGGGACACCTCACGTCCAAACCAGCACAGTCCCTAGTGTTGCTCTGGCCAGGCCAGCAGGTGATTAAGGAGGGTTCTCCACGGCCCCCCAAAGACGGTCTTGAGAAACCACGCTTCTCCCCACTCCTGCAGCCATCCTGGCAGACACGTTCTAAAGTGCCTCGGAAGGGTGCAATTTGGTGTCTCTCTCCCCACATGCACAAAGGTAATTAATTTTAAAAAAAGAAAAAAAAAAAAAGAGCTCGCTGAGAGAAAAAGGTTTTGTAAGAAAGAAAGAAGGGAACTCGGCATCAGTCAAAGCAGCTGATGTGACGCTGGGGTCAGCCTAGAAAGCCAAGCCTGTGAGCGGGTTGACTCCTCCTTGGTGAACCTCTGCATCTTCCACCTCCAGCTCACAGGCCACCTCCTCCTGGGGACACCACTGCTTATGCCCTTCTTCTCTGACACAGCCCCCACCCTCCAGCAGATCGCTCCTGCTCAGACCAGCCTCCCTCCCACCTTGGGTCCTTAGGTCCATCCCGTGTCCTAATCCGCCCTTCACCCACCTCCCCGACCAGACCCGTGGGTCCGTGAGAACCAGAGCTGGCATCGTCCAGCTTTGTGGCCCCAGAACCAGCTCAGGCCTGGCCCCAAGCCGAGGGTGCTCAGTGGCATTATTCCAGGCTCTATTATTGCTGCTTCTCGCCATCGTCAGCTTCGTGAGCCTGACAATCAGCACCTGAGCAAGTGAGGGGACAGGGTGGCGCGGCATTTCCTGGTCCCTCTCACCTCTCCCCACACAGGGCACCCCGGGCGCTGCAGTTAGCCGAGCCTCATTAAGCACCGATTAATTACACAGAGCAGAGTCTTTTGTCGCATGCAAATGCGGGAGTTAACCCGATGCCTTGAAGAGGCCAACAGGGAGAGGGTTACCAGAAGAGCAAGCGCTGGCACGGGTGTCCCTGTCTTGGAGCGCTGCCCACCCCCAGCTGCCCCCAGTTCGCAGAGCCTCTCCCCTGCCTTGGGTCTGCCCACAGGGTGCCTCAGGACCTCCAGGGACCATCAGAAAACCCGCGGTGTAGCCAGCTGCAGTGCAGGCGCCCTGGCTTCACATGCCAACCTTCGGCCTTTGCAGGGACATATCTGTGGGCCATTGCACCAGGGAATTTCTTTAAATTGCCAAACGGACCGTGTCCGCCTCCGCCTTCATGGTAATTGCTGGCCGGATCTTCTCCCTCATTTATATACATTAAAAGCTCAGCTCCAGGCCAGCGATCTATCATCCTCTCAGGCAGTGTGGTGAGTGGGTAAGGCTCTGAGCCCTGCAGCCAGACCGCCCCTCCGAGAGCCGGCTGATGACCTGCGGGAGGGATTCTCACCTCTCTGTGCCTGAGTTTCCCCCAGTAATCACTGGGGATAACCATAGTCCCTATCTTGTAAGCACATGGGGACAGTCAGACAAGTGGATTAAGACCCAGGATGCAACTGGGCCTACAGTGGCACACACCTGTCATCCCAGCAACTCAGGAGGCTGAGGCAAGAGGATTGCAAGTTCGAGGCCAGCCTCAGCAACTTAGCAAGGTCCTAAGCAACTTAGCAAGACCCTGTCTCTAAATAAAAAAATGAAAAGGGCTGGGGATGTGGCTCAGTGGTTACATACCCCAGGGTTCAATCCGTAGTACCAAAAGATAAATTTAAAAAAGAGAGAGAAAGAGAGGAAGGAAGGAAGGAAAGAAAGGGAACAGCCAGGTACTGATGTGCATGACAGGAACGTGTTCTGAGAAGCCTGTCCTCAGGCAACTACTTTGTTCTATGGAGCATGACTACAATGTCACCAGGCAGTAGTCTTAGGAGACTGTCATTTATGCAGTTCATTAAGAAACATCATCAGGAGCTGGGGCTGTAGCTCAGTGGTAGAGCGCTTGCCTAGCATGTGTGAGGCACTGGGTTCGATCCTCAGCACCACATAAAAATCAATGAAAAAAATAAAGGCCGTCTGTCCATCCACAACTACAAAAAAAAAAAAAAAAATCATCAGTTGAGGCATGGCTGTATTTGACAAATGCTTCATAAAAGGTTTCATTGATCTCTTTGGTGGTTTTGTTTTGATTTTGTTTTGGTACTAGGAAAGGAACCCAGGAGCGCTTCCCCACTGAGCCATATCCCTAGCCCTCTTTATGTTTTATTTTGAGACAGGATCTCCCTAAGTTGCTGAGGGCCTCGCTAAGTTGCTGAGGCTGGCTCTGAACTCACCATCCTCCTTCCTCAGCCTCCTGAGCCACTGGGAACCTTGTTCTGTTTTTCACAGATAATGTGCATGGAAGGAGAGCAGTTAGGAAGGGGACCTTAAGTTGGGACTGAGAAAGCCAAACCCACTGCAAGCCTCAGACCTGCCTCAGACCTGCCTCATCTGCACTGTAGCAGTCACAGACAGGAAACCACAGATCAGATATGGCCCAGAGGGTTGTTTTGTGTCGCCCCTAACACATTTCTTTAAAACATGAAGAAGTCGGGCTGGGGTTGTAGCTCGGTGGAAGAGCACCTGCCTAGCATGTGTGAGCACTGGGTTCAAGTCTCAGCACCACATATAATAAATAAAATAAAGGTCCATCGACAACTAAAAAATATTTCAAAAAAACATGAAGACGTCACCAACAAGAGAAAAAATTTCCTTGAATATCTGGCGTTCTGGCATCTCCTAAAAAATCCACAGATCTGGGGTCGCACCTACACACCCCCTCCCCAACAGTCATCACCCAGAGCTGTGTGGCCAAAGGGGCTATGTCTCTCCGGTTAGCCATGCTCCCCACCACTCCCCTATGACCATCCTCCCATAGACTTTCAATCATCTCTAGATGATGTATCACACCTACTACAATGTCAGTACTGGGAAAGTAGTTGTTATTTAGGGAATAATGTCTGTCCGTGTTCAGTACAGATGTAGGGATTTTTAAAAAAATTTTTTCCAATTACCTGTGGATGCTGATCCTGTGGATGCAGAGGGCCAGCTATATATTACAGAGGCAGCGCATTCATCCCCTTCATCCCACAAAGATTGACTGTGCACCTACTGGGTGCCACCCTCTGGGCCAGAAACTGGGGCAGAGTTTAGGACAAGCCAGAGCCCTTGTCCCACAGACCCACACTCTGTATGATTCCGCGTGCATTTATCAGGGACCTACTGTGCACCACGCCCCGTCCAAGGGCTGGAGGCAAGAGGAGGACCCGTGTGTGGGGCCAGGCCAGCAGGAGTGAGAGCTCACAGAGCAGCCAGTGCTTTTTATTTTATGACCGTGAATCCCTAACACATGCTTTGGAGGCCCAAAGAAAGAATGAGGTTAAGAGGGTTTTTTTAGAGGAGGTTGCATTTGATCTGAGCTTCAAAGGAACTTGACAGGTGAAAGACTTGCTCTGTCCAAGAGGGAGTATGTTGAAGAAGGGAGGAGGACAAGTCCCAGCCCTGACTTAGGGAGCCGCAGGGTGATTTTAAACTATAGAGTGACACCGGTGGAAAGGTCCCTCAGAGAGCTGGTACACCAAAGCATTGCAGAGGGTGAGGCTGGAGTCAGGGAGGCTCTTCAGGAGGCTGTTAGCACCATCCGGGGAGTTGTGCTGAGTTTGTCCAACCTTGACTCTGATATTCCGTTCCATTTTTTTGGCCCTCGGGCAGATGACAAAGGAGGAGCTGAGGCAAGATAACCCCCCCCCACAGTCCCAGCAACCCCCAGAGGACGGGGCTTTGGGGACATCCAGGTGCAGTGTTCAGAGACAAGCCGAATCCCTACCAGTGGTAGCTGCAGAGCTGCAGAGCAGAGGGGCCCGCCCAGAGGCCAGCTGACTGACCCTGCTCTCTCGCGTGTCTGTCTGGCGTCTGTCCCCACACCTGCAGGGAGGCATGTACATCTTCCAGCTGTTTGACTCCTATGCGGCCAGCGGGATGTGCCTTCTCTTCGTGGCCATCTTCGAGTGTGTCTGCATCGGCTGGGTGTATGGTGAGTTGACGGGCACCTGCGCACACTCGGGCTGCCTGTCTCGGCCCCGGTCCTGGCCGGGCTCGGGTCTCCATGGTGGTCCTTGTCTGTGTGGGCCTCTTCCTCTTTTCTCTTCTGGGACCCCTTGACCCCTTCCCACTGTGGGGGAGACCTTCCTGCTTCTACATACCTGCAGCACAGGGAGGGGCTCAGGGCCCAGGCACTGTGACCTCGGGCCAGTTCTTCCCTGAGCCTCAGTTTCCCCCTCTGTGAAATGGAGCAGCCATGGCCCTCAGTGACACCTGCCTCTGGTCCTTCCGTTCCCCAAACCAAAGCCAAGTGCAGGCTGCCAGGCTCAGGGTCAGGTGGAGTGTGGCTGGGAGCAGCCACCTCTGCTCAGGGTCCGTCAGCTTCCGCCCTCTGCCCACGCAGGTCAGCCCCCCTCGCCATACCTGGCCTCTCCAGAGGGCTCACCTTCCTAACCTTTCTCCCGAATCTCCTTGCTGTTCCCTGGACCTGGCTGCCCAGGTCAGGAGAGCCCCCCTCCATCAGCCATCCAGAGTCCCTCCTGCCCACAGCTTATTCCAGACCGCGCCCACTGTGTCAGTCACCTTGGCACCACCGTAACGCAGCACCTGAGACAGGCTCCTTGTGAAGTGAGAACTAAGTTCATGTTGGCTCCGGGGTTCAGGAGATTCACGTTCAAGGTCGGGCGGCCCCATTGGTGAGGGCCACACAGTGTCGGGAATACATGTCAAGGCCTCTCAATCCAAGAAGCAGAGAAAGAGAGATCAGGCAGCGTCCCACGGTTCCTTTGGGAACCCCCCAGTGACCTATGGGCCTTCCATAGGCCCCACCTCCTGCAGGTCCATCCCTGCTCCCAATAGCACCGCCCTAGGAATCCAGCCTTTATATAGGTAACTTTGGGGGACATAAGACATCCAAATCCTAGCGCTTTTTGCTAGGTGTTAAGTATTCAGTAAGGTCCCTGCTGCAATTTCTGTGTCTCAGGGTCAGACAGAGTATTGCCTTTGGGGCAAGCACTTCTCCCAAGCAAGCAAACAGACACCTAACCTCTGCCGACTTTTGTACTTGGCGGGCTCATCTGCTTTATTCTGGACAGGAAGCAACCGGTTCTATGATAACATTGAAGACATGATTGGCTACCGGCCACTGTCGCTCATCAAATGGTGCTGGAAGATCGTGACCCCTGGGATCTGCGCGGTAAGAGCCCCACCTGCAGCCCCTCCAGTTACCCACCTACTGGGTTTCCCACTTTTCCACGTTGTAGCCCTTCAGCCTAGCAGAGGCTGGTACTGAGAAGGCTCATGACCCCTTTCGTCCAAGCCACCTGACACCCCGGGGAGCTGGGGTCACAGGGCCAGGCTCTGGGCATGGCAAGGCAGGGCCCAGCTCTGCCACCAAATCGGGTAGATGTCCAGGAGCAAGTCTCCTCCTCCTCAGTGCTCTAGGTTCACCTAGGTGCTGGAATCTGCTCCTTGGGGATGGAGGATCATGTGAGTGGGAAGGTGTTGCCTTTTCATTAACAAAGAGGGTGACAGAGGTGGGGAGAACTGGGGCTTGTGCTCTTCCCTAAGACCAGACCACAGAAGGGCTTCAACGAGAGCATTTTTATTTAATTTTTAAAAGGCAAAAACAAAAAAAAAAAGCAGCCAGGCATAGTGGCTCACACCTGTAATCTCAGCAGCTCGGGAGGCTGAGGCAGGAGGATCGCAAGTTTCAAGCCAACTTGCCTCAGCCACTTATGAAGACCCTGAGCAACTCAGCAAGACCTATCTCTAAATAAAATATAAAAAAAGGAGCTGGGGATGTGGCTCAGTGGTTGAGGACCCCTGGGTTCCGTCCCTGGTACCAAAAAAAAAAACCAGACTCATCACTGAAAGTCTGAAGAACATCTTTGAAACTTGAAGAAGTAGATAGGAAAAAATTAAAATTCCTAACTGGACAGAGGCTAGGGAAGAGACTCCTGGGAATGGGTAGGGAGCGCCTCAGCCCTGGTGACACCTCAGGATCCCTGGGAGTCTGGTACCCAGGGTCCCATTCCCTGTATGAAAGATGACTGTGGGGAGGGTCTCCAGGTCCTTCTGCCCCACAGTCACTGTGGACATAGGCAAGGGGACTTAGACCTATCTTGGGTAAGCGGGGCTGAAGACCCTCCCCGGGGACCTCTCTGTCTCTCTGCAGGGCATCTTCATCTTCTTCCTGGTCAAGTACAAGCCCCTGAAGTACAACAACGTCTACACCTACCCTGCCTGGGGCTACGGCATCGGCTGGCTCATGGCCTTGTCCTCCATGCTCTGCATCCCGCTCTGGATCTTCATCAAGCTGTGGAAGACAGAGGGCACGCTGCCCGAGGTGAGACGGCTCCGGAGCAGGGTCAGGAGGGCGCCCACGGGGGCAGAGAGGGACACAGGGAGGGCTGGTGAGCAGGAGCAGAGCCCGGCCCGTCTTCAGGTCTGAGCTTCCTCCTCTGGATCACAGGCATGATGGAACCTGTCCCTACCTGTCACACAGGGAAGCCATGGCACACGTTCATCATTCCAGTTGTGTTGAGCGTGTCTCTGTGAGGCCCCCGGGGGGAGCCAGGTGTGAGCTCAGCCTCAGTTTCCCCATCTGTCAAGTGGAATAACAGCATATCTTAACGTATAGAGACGATGAGGATGTTGGAAGTCCACACAGGGAAAGCACAGGACCCAGCCCAGGAGTAGCCAAGTGTTAGTATTCAGTCTTCTGTTCACTCTATTCATGTAACATTTGGGGACACCTATTCTGTGTCACCCCCTTACTGGGCTCTCTACCTGCTGCATCTTTTGCACTCCTCAGAGCAAACCAAGGCCCTGCAGTTAACAGGTGAAGGAGATGGAGGCTCGGAGAAGTGGAGTCACTTCCTAAGATCCCACAGCCCAAAGTTAGCAGAGCAATTTTTAAAAACAGCTTAAAGTACATATCACAGAATTCATTCGTTTCAGATACACAGATAAATACACACATGCAGATGCTTATCACCTGTATACAGATGAGAAAACTAGCACACAAAGAAGTAAAACAAGTTTTTCCAGTGGGTGCACACCTGTCATCCCAGCAGCTCGGGAGGCTGATGCAGGAGGATCACAAGTTCAAAGCCAGCCTCAGAAACTTAGCAAGGTCCTAAGCAACTCAGTGAGACCCTGTCTCTAAGTAAAATACAAAATAGGGTTGGGGATGTGGCTCAGTTGTTGAGTGTCCCTAGGTTCAATCTCTAGTTAAAAAAAAAAAAAAAAAAAAAAATGAAAGAAAGAAAGCAACTTTCCAAAGAGACACGGCCTCTGAAAAATGGAGCCGGAACTAAAGTCTGTGTTCCTGAGCTTTGCTGTTTCAGCTTCTTTGACTGAACTGACTATGCTCCATTTCAGGGCCCCGTTTCTGCCCGAAGGCCACATCACACAGGGATGGCAGAAGTTGACTCTTGTCTCCTAGCTCAAGGATAGAGGGAGACAGGAGTAGGAAGTGTGTGTGCAGAAGCAAGTTCCAGCTCAAAGTCAATGTCACCCAATTCACCTGCTCACAGAGGGCCCTGGGCACACAGCCAAAAAGAGCAAGCCAGGAAGGAAGGTCCCTTTGAAACCTGCTCATTCCCAGAGCAAGTCAGGCTTCTCATTGCTTGTAAGGAATGTGGGTCAAAGGCAATTGGTTAATTCTGATCTGAGACCTAACACTTCCAGAAGGGAGCTGCCCTCGTGACTTTAAAAGTTCACCCACTGAACGCCCGCACATTGAGTGAACTTTCAGATGACCTCTTGATGTTCAGAAATGTTCTGTGCTTTCTGCTAGATCCCCAGAGATTTTTTTTTCTCAGCCCCTGGGTGTTAGAAAAGAGGGAGGGAAAGTACAGGCTGCTTTCCTGAGCTTCCTCCATCTCCCTAAACTTATACCCCTTCTGACCCAACCTGGACAACGTGACTTATGAAACAGCCAAGTCTCTGAAGGCGGTCAAACCCAGCTTCCAGGCCTCACAAACTTCTGCCCACAGACAGGAAGAATCTGGAGGGAAAGTGGGGACAACAGGACCTGCCTTGGAGAACTGCCCTGAGGGAAAATCATACTCATAGAAGTCATGTGTCAGTACTGTGGCTGGTCACCTCATCTCAGCCTCATGACAGTGCTAGACAGCCGGTGCCCTTATTTTACAGATGAGGAAACCGAGGCACGGACAGCTTAAGTTTCTTGCCCTCGTGCCGTGGTGGAACTGGAACCCAGACCCAGGCTCCTGGATCAGAGCCTGAGCTCTAAACCCTAATCTAGGTCAAGAGCCTGACACAGTGCCTGACACACAGGAGGCACCTATTAATCAGTGCATCAGCCTGACGCTCCTATGCGGACACTGTAGGTTTAGTTTCTCAGGCCTGGCAGGGTCTGAAAGAGAAGAACTTGAAGGAGTTACCTCCTCAATTCTTTGCAGCCCCCCGCCCACTCAGGAAAGCGTTTCTGATTGGAAAGGGCCTCCCAAATCCTGGCCTCGTGTCTTTTCCTCGGGGAACCTGGGAAGTCCTGATGAAGTTGATGTGGGGGCCCATTCTGAGAGGCAAGAGGTGGGGGATGACAGCCATCCAACTGTGTCCAGCCGGCAGGGCCGTGAGCATTGGCATTCGTGATCACGATTAGTGATCTGCATTTGAGCAAGGCCCCAGGAGCACATTACACACCCGTGCATTGCCCTGTGTGCTGGCAGGGTGAGGACATCCCTTTTGTGGGACAGGTGCCCATCCATCTGGGAGTCCTTGTGTCAACAGCCCTTCCAGGAAGGGACTGTTAACCCATTTCATAGATGAGGAGAAGGTAGCTCACAGAGGTTAAGTGCAGAGGCTGAGCGGCGATTCAAACCGCAGCTCCTAGGTCCCCTCCCGTGGGTCCTGATCGTAGCTCTCAAGTCCTGATCACCTCTCGAAGGCCACGCAGTAGGCCACGGTCTTCTGCACATGCCATCATTGCTCCTTACCTAAGGCCAGGGGTAGGGAAGACCCACAGAAGCCAACACACCATTCAGATCAGATCAGTATGGCAGAGGCTGAAGCCCAGACCCCCGCAGCCCCTCTCAGACTGTTCTCCTCTCCAATCGTCTAGAAATTCCGGAAGTTGACAGTCCCCAGCGCCGATCTGAAAATGCGGGGCAAGCTTGGGGCAGGCCCACGGACGACGGTGATGGTTAATGACTGTGACGCCAAGCTCAAGGGTGACGGCACCATCGCCGCCATCACAGAAAAGGAGACGCACTTCTGAGCCACCTCCCGCCACCTCAATGCTTCTTCTCATTTCTTCTCTTCCCTCCCGTGTGTTTAAAAAAAAAAAAATGAATACCTGAGACACATACTTCTCCTAATGCTAGGGGCTTGCTCGTTTTGCACACAGGATGTATTAACAAGTTAACTTCCAGCTGGCCACCGTACCCTCTGGTTTAAAGCCAGAGCCCCCTGCCTCGCCCTCTCCCAGTGACCACGGAAGTATCCACCACAAGATAATACTGTACAGTGACTAGCACACCCTTCTTGCCCTCGGGTGGTTTTAATTAGTGTTTTCTAGGGATTAATGTATCATATTGTGAAACTTTTATACTTGGGCCTGTGGGCAGGTGGGATGGGGAGTGAGGCCTGGCCTCCTCTGTTGGCCTTTGAACCCACCGGTCCACATCTGCACTTGTCCCTGACCGTCGGCAGCCGCCCCTCCTCCGTGCCCCCAGGGAGTGTTTTACTCTGAGCCTTCCCTTGGCCGTGGACATGGGGTCTGCAGACTCAAGGTCACGTGGCAGAGAAGGACTCCTGATTTGTAGGACCCCCCCCCCCTCTGCCCTGATCTCTTGGGCACTACCTTCCCTTCTCCGGGCTTCAGTGTCCCCATTTCCCCAGCTGGCGGGGAGGGAGCTCGAGTGGGTGACCTCTTTGCCTCACTGCCTTGCAGAGCTGCCACTGATATCAGCTTCTCCTGAAGACCCACGGGCCACCTCTGCCCTCCCTGCCGGACCCCCATTCCCACCTGCTTCTTTACAATCGGATGTATCATGGGACAATGTGGTGGCCATGTGTGTTTCCCCAAAACTCTGTTTGATCTCATCCCTGTTCCTAGAGACGGGCGGGGCTTCCTCCCATCTGGGCCTCCCCGTCTCCAGGCCCTCTGCTCTCCCCCTGAGTTCTGTCCCTCCATCCCAAGCAGGACTGTCTGGACTGGCCATGGGGACTGGTCTCCGGGGTCAGGAGGCAGCATTTTTTTCTCCTTGCAGCTGCCCCAGCCAAGATCTGCAGCCTCCCAGTGAGGCCCAGAGCCGGGTTTCAGTCTGAGCCCCTCTGTGTGCCCAGGGCCACTTCTCCTTCTTGCTGCCCCTGTGCTCACCCTCTTGACTGTGCTGGAGGATCTTGTGTGGCGGCTTCTTCCCCACACTTTATTCGGGGGCCATCCCATCTGCCCTCTGTCTTCATTCCTGCTAAAGAGGAGAATCAGCCATTCCTACTGGCTGTTCCTCTGTGTGATCCTGGGGTCTTCAGGGGAGGCTGGTACTGCACCCTCCCAGCCTGGCTTCTGGCGTTCCTGGCTGGTACCCCCCTTCCCTGTTCATCGGCTGCTGGAGGTCGGGAAGGTGAATTCTTTTTCCTTTCCAAACTGAAGCTGCATTTTCCTACAGGGGACCCATGTGTTGGATTCACCCCCAAAGTTTCCAAACTGCCAGGTTCTCTGCTCTGACCAGCCCCCATCTAAAACTGGAAATTTGCTCAGAAGGATGCCCAGCTCCCACTCTGGGCAGGTTGGGGCACCTTGTTCTGGAGCCCCCTCTTGGGCACACAGCTCAGGCCTGCCCATTCATTGGTGGAAAGTCCAGTGTCCTCCTCATGGGAAAGCCAGTGTCACCCTGAGCTGTCTGGCCCAGTGGACCCGGGAAGATGGCCTGCGTGTGTTGGTCCCCAGCTGCTGTCCTCCCGGCAGTCAGGGAGGGGGCTTCCCAATGCTGCTACTGTGTCCTCCACCACCAACTCCCTCACGGACCGACCGATAGATCTCTGAGGTCTCGTCTTTACGGACACACACGTGGTACATCTGGCACTTAACACTTGACACTTAACACTACTCATCGGGCAGGGTGGAGGGAGGCCGTGGGTGTGGGAGTTTTTATTTTTTTTTTCTTTTCTTTTTTTCTTTTTTTTTTTGTAATTTCCTACTAGTGTGTTTGGGTAACTTTAGGGGGGTGGGGCGGGCAGCGTGGGGGTGGGGGGAACACATCATTGTGATGACATTTTTGATATTCATTAGAAACAATACATCCTTTCTGAGATATTTACAGTATTATTAAAAAATGTAAAAGGTTGTACTGTTTTGCATAATGAACGTTTTTACTGGGGATCCAAAGGGCACAAGACTGCTTACTCATTTTTAAAAATTAAAGAAGTGAACTACCACATTCTTGTTCCCGGCAGGGTGATATTCTTTGAGTTTTTCTTGTTGTTGCTTTGTTGTTGTTGTTGTTGAGGGGATCGTTGTTTTACTCCCATGATATGCCTGCCAAACCATCTTGGTTCCATGTTTGGAGTTTATGGTCAGCATTGCCAATTGGAAACAACTGGAGCTGCCATTTCTTTCCGTTCACTGTTGATGTGGCACAGTGTGGCCACTTGGTAGCCGCAGGTTTTCCTCCATTTGCCCACACGAGCTTGTAGGTGGCTGGTAAAGCTCTGTATCCACACTGGCTATATCCTGAAGGAACAGTTCCCAAGCTCCAACAATGTTTCTAATATTGCTTAGAACTTAGACGAAAATCTCTAAATTTCTATCTGACATTTCCAAACGTCCGCTCAAGACCACAGAGCACATCTTGTCCTGCCAGTCCACAGTACAATCAACTCATCTCACAGTGTCTGCTCATTGCTATCCCTCAATTTTTTTTTTTTCTTCCAGTCCTGATCTCAGTGTTTACTTGTTTACCCTGTTGTGGTCTCTCACGTCTCTGAGGTGGTGATACCCGCTCACAGAGAAAGCATCCCACTGATGACATACACAGAGGGTCCCTGAGGACCTCGTAATTTCTTAGAGCTACAGGGATTGGTACAATCATCTGTTCCCTGCCACCTTCCCTCCCTGAGTCTGAAACACACATGTATGGGCAGCAAGACAAGAAGAGATTGAATCACAGAAATGTGGGTCTGTCTCCTTTCCAGGAAACCTGATTGGTAGGTCTTGAGTCTACAGAATTGGTAACATGAGAAATTAATTTACACCTCACATCTAAACCATAACAAGTTCTGATGACTGAGGGCAGGAGATGGATGTTTCAGCTCAAGCTGAGAGAACAAGTTCACCCATTCTCCACCTTTCTCTTCTACCTGGGCCTTTCACAGAACAGATGTTGCCTGCCACCCACATTGGCAAGGGCCGTCTTTTTTTACTTGGTTCAAAGATGCAAATGAGCATCCCTTCAAGAATCACCCTTGCAGACACACCCAGAGGCAATGTTTTATTAGCTATTTGGGCATCCCTTAGCCCAGTCAAGTTGGTGTCGAACGACCGTCACACACCACTTTGGGGAGCCTCTGAGTGCCACCCCAACTATCACTAGGGATGGATCATCAAGGCCATGGAAAAGCTACAGATGGTGGTGAAGACCTTGCAAGAAGCCCTGAGGGTCTTTAGCAGCTTCAAAATCCTTTGGTCCCACAGGGTACCTCTTGAAGCCTCCATAATTTCTCAGAAATGATAGAAGTCCACTGGAACTTGCTGAGAGGGACAAGGGGATATATGAGACCAGCGAGAGGCATTGAGGACAGAAGGTACCACCAGAGCCCCTGGAGACCTGAAAGATGTCACAAGGTCCTGGGAAGCCAGTAGAATCATGGAGCCATCAGTGAGTGATGGAAGTGTTTGGGAGTTATGAGGGCCGAGGGACAGGAGTTGAAAGGGGCTGTTGAAAGAAAGGGAGAATCACTGGGGAGTTTTTAGGAGCTGTGGGGGGCCTTCAGGGTCCTTAGTCACTATTGAAAGTCATTACAGCCCTCTCTCTCTCTCTCTCTCTCTCTCCCCCCCCCCCCCCCCCCAGTTAGAGGGTAGAGAGAGGGGACAGAAAACTGTAGCATCAAAGAAAGAATCAATTATTGATCAATTAAAGGATGATTTACCTGGGACAAAGCCAGGCATTTCCCATAAGCCTCAAAACAACCTCAACTGTGGTTTGTTCCCATTTTAAAGTAGCATAAAACAACTCGGAGAGACAGGAGGGGGAGGAGCTCTTTGAAGCCAGGCAATTCAACCCAGAGCCCTTCAGTTTTTTTCCTTTATTTATTTTTTATTTTCTTTCATACCAGGCTTGGCCCCGGCGGCTATGGCAGGGAATGGTCAACCCAGAGCCTCTCCTAATCCTTGCCTTCCCGCCCAGAGTCCTGGGCACAGACAGACAGGTTGCAGAAGACTGGCCACCAGGTGGCGCAATTGCTAAACCCAGACTGGTGAGGTCCAAATGGAAACAAGGACCCTCCCAAGAGACAAAGGGTGCAGAGGTCCCACCTGGGTGCCCCAGTGAGGGACAGAAGGCTGCCTTTGACAAAAGGGTGTAAATCATTCTCATAAAGCCCTGCCCCTACCCCAACAGCCAGACACACCTGGGTTCAGTTCTGAACTCTACCTCCTGGCTGTTTGACCTTGGGCCAATGACTTTACCTCTCTGGTTTCAGTTTCCTCATCTATACAAATGGACAGAATCAGCCTGTTTTGGTCAGCTTTTTTGCAGTGATGACCAAAAGACCTGATAAGAACAATTTGGAAGGAGGAAAAATATATTTGGGGGCTCAGGGTTTCAGAGGTCTCAGTTCATAGACAATTTTTTTTTAAGAAAGAGAGAGAGAATTTTAATATTTATTTTTTAGTTTTCGGCAGACACAACATCTTTGTTTGTATGTGGTGCTGAGGATCGAACCCAGGCCGCACGCATGCCAGGCGAGCGAGCTACCGCTTGAGCCACATCCCCAGCCCCAGTTTGCTGACAGTATGCACCCAAGTGTCTGACACATAAGAAGAATGGGATCTCACTAAGTTGCTCAATCCTCACTAAATTGCTGAGGCTGGCCTCGAACCTGTGATCCTCCTCCCTTAGCCTCCTGAGCCACTGGGATGACAGGTGTGCACCCGGCTTTTACTAATTATTTTTTAAATGAAGAATATTGATTTTTACCTTTGAAAAAAACAAAATCAATGAAGCTGTTTTTAAAAATCCTCTCTCTCGGCCACCGAGAGGTTGGTCCCAAGTGAAGACTCTGAGGGGAAGGAAAAATGATTCTCTTAGGGTTAAAAGAAAGTGGTGAGCA